TGAAAGAGTCATGTGTAGGGGACGCCTTATTGCTTATGCCCAAAGCAGGCTGTAAACAGTTAACCCTACCATTGGCTTGTTTTGAGAAGCGAGTCTGGCCAGCTGGCTGAAGCCTACGCACAGCACCGAGGTCAGAGTGACTCTTACCCAAATTCCGTTCCCACAATTAAAACCTTCTTAAGTAGGACAAGGTTATTTTCTAACTACAACCTTATATTTTGTTTCTAATTCAAGAATGCTTTGTCTTTTCCTTTATAAGCCTTGCTACATCAGAAACGTGTCCATAGCAACTGCACATCCCCTCACGCAGCTCCTTTACCCCAATCTGACAGTGCAGGCTGTCCTCAGTAAACAGCAGTGGCTTGGACTGGCCAGAGTCTCTGCTGGTCACTCAGCACTGGCCATCCTGGCTCCCCATGTCTCTGTCTCTTTAATTGTCTTTGAGTTTTTCTTTTAACCTTGCATCATAGCACTGATCAGGAGATCTGAGCCCACCTTGGGGTCTCTGATACTCGTGTTAAAGGCTTGGTCACCAGCCTGTGGCGCTATTGAGAGATGGCAAAACCTTATGGAGATGAGGCCTGCTGGAAGGAAATGAGGTCACTGCAGGCCCTTGAAGGAGACTTTGGGACTCCAGCCCCTTCTCTCTTTTGCTTCCCAGTGACTATGAGGTGAGCAGTTTTGCTCCACCACATACTCCACACTGTGATGTTGTGATGGAGCCAAGCAATCATGGACTGAACCCTCTGAAACTGTGAACCAAAATAAATCTCTTCTCCTTTTAAATTGAGTATCTTCTCAAAGTGAAATTCTGCATTCATTAAGTAATAATTCTCACTCTCCCTTCCCCGCTTGGTAACCACTGCCATTTACCAAAAGCTTTGCAGACTTTTAAAATTATTTACCTACGTTATTCAGGTGAAAACTAGAAATGGCTACTTTATGTCCCTTTTATTTTCAGTGCTGGGGATTGAATCCTGGGGCTCTCTACCACTGCTACAAGCCTAGCCCTTTTTATTATTTTATTTTGAGATAGAGACACCTTAAGTTGCCCAAGTTGGCCTTGAATTTGCAATTCTCCTGTTTTAGCCTGCTGAGTAGCTGCGATTGCAGGCAGGTAGTTGAGAAATGGATATTTTCAAAGGTGGAAGACATGTTACTGTTTTCCCTCAAACATATTTTTCTCAGTCTACAGCAAAAGTAAAGTTTAAGGAGTCCCTACAGGGATATCCATCATAAACTGTCTGTGAAGATAGAGAAACATCTAACAGTGTTAAAGCAACTGGAGCTTTCCCTGGTACAGAAGCCCCTTCATAGACTTTTGTTCAATGCCCTTGATGTACTAGTTCTAGGTTCTGGGAATATACATGGCGCACAGATTTTGTGTGGCTTTAATCCAGTGTGTTTGATGTTATAATAAGTTATAAACAGCAAGCTATGGAAACACAGATCAAGGAGAGTTAGCTCCCACTCAGGGTCAGAGCACATTTCCTGGAGGTAGTCGGGGAGGGAAACAAGTTTTAAAGCAGAAGAAGGGGGCAAGAGATTGGGTTGTCATATATTACATGTATTTTCAAATAAGAGAATATTATCATAAAAAACAATCACGTTCTACTTACTCGATGCAATCATTTTGAGGATTTTGCTATACTTGCTTCATCTTCCCTTCTTTTCCTATGGAAATAATTCTTTTATTGGTAAAGTAAATGTAACACAACATTTACCATTACATGTAACATAAAATTGACCATTTAAGGTGAACTTAACCTTAGTTCAGTGGCATTAAGTATATTTACATAGTCACACAACCCTGCCTAGGGATTTCTCCTGAAACTCTATGCCATGAAACTTTTCTTGAACCTCTGTGCCCATGAAACAGTAATTCCTATTGCCCCATCCTCAGTTTTCTTTATTTTTTTATTTTTTTTGGTACAGAGTGGAATTCAGGAGCTTGTACTTGCTAGGCAGGCACGGCTCCACTCAGCTAAATCCCTGGCTCTTATCAGCTTTCTGAACCACTGTTCCACTTTCTGTCTCCATGGGGTTGCCTATTTATATTTCACGTAAAGAAATAATATCATCTGTAGCTAGCTTCTTTCATAGAATAACATTTTCTAGGTTCATTTATGTTGTAGGATGTATCACTACTTAGTGCTTTTTTGGCTTGAATGATATTCTATTGTATAATATATCCCATTTTGCACATTCATTCATCAGTTAGTGGACATTTGCATTGTTTTCACTTTTTTGGCTCCTATGAGTAATTCTGCTCTGAACAGTCGTGTAAATTTTTGTGTATAAAGAATGCATCGATCACTTTATCATCACTGGGACAAAGTACATGACATATATAACTTAAGAAAGAGGTTTATTTTGGCTCACAGTTTCAGAATGTTCAGTCCATGGCTTGAGAGCAGAAATGGCACAGTGGGAGTGCATGGTAGAGGAAAGCTGCTCAAACCATGGCAGCAAGAAGCAGAGAGCAAGGAAAACCACAGAGAGAAGAGAGGATAAAGGATAATAATATACTCTTCCAGGTCACACACCAATGACACACCACCTGGAACCAGGCCCTACTTCCTCACAGCACATTGAACTGTGAATTCCTCAAAGGATTTATCCTGATGAGTATAGCACCCCATGAACCGATCACCTTTCAAACCCCCACTTCTGAACAATTGAGACTTCTGGGGGACATTCTAGATCAAAACCATAATACATAGGCTTTCCAATTCTCTTGGATATCGTAGAAGTGGAACTGCCATGTTATATGGTCACTGGTTACTCTATGTTTAATTTTTTTTTCAGTATGGAGGACTGAATCCAGGATGTAATGAGCTGTATATCTCCAGCCACCCCCCTTTTAAAAATTTAGTTTATTTATTTATTTTTTTTGGCACTGTGAATCTAACTCAGGGCCTCACGCTTGCCAGGCAGGCACTGAACCACTGAGTTACATCTCCAGCCTGGTCTTTTTCTAAATTGCCTATGCTGACGTGTGTGTGTGTGTGTGTGTGTGTGTGTGTGTGTGCGTGCGTGTGTGTGTGTGTGTGTGTGTGTGTGTGTGTATGTGTGCGTGCGTGTGTGTGTGTGTGTGTGTGTGTGTGTGGTTCATTTAGGAGGTTCACCTCCTTTGGGATGTCTCTTTTGACCCCAACCTTCCACCTACGAAGCAGTAACCAGTTCATTCTTTGTACTAGAAGTTGGGGTGGGAAAGATGCTCTAAACAGGTTGTTACGTTCCATTTTAACACTATCTTCCCTCAGAGACAGTAAATTCTTCCAGCAGAGGGACCAGGACTCAGCTGCCTAAGCAGCACAATTCCTGTTTAGAGAAAATGCTCAAGTAGCGCTGTCTGAAGGGTGGGGGGAAGGCCTAACTTTACTAGGAAACAATGACAAGCAACAGTGCAATGCTGTCTTTCCAATTTCTAATGTAGCAAACATTTCTAAAGAGTAATTCCTGAGAGTTTGGAAGGCTTTGGTCAGGTTTAGCCTTTCCAAAGACATTTTGGAAATTTCTTCATGGGGAATACTCAGCTATGAGATCATGGAGGCAGATGCACTTAAAGATAGAGCAGCATCAGCTGCATTATCTCCAAGCCTGTATGCCCCCAACACTGAATGGACCTGGTGGGCCTAGGCCATCTAAGGGGAAGTCCCCACTGCTAGACCAAGGTTGAGGCATGCAGGCTCTATTTCCCAGCTTCCTCTTTATTCTTCAATCACCCATGGCCGTTTTTCAACCAGGGAAGGGAGCATGCCTTGTTCCTAAATGCAACTTTGGGACCCTGAACCCAAGGGGCCTTAGGATCAGCTTGCGTGCAGGCAAAGTTCAAGGTGGCACTTGGAGCAAGGCTCCCACTTTCACCCTAACCTGGCCCGCACACTCTCACTCACCAGAGGCTGTAGGACACCAGGAAATAAAGCACCAATGTGGCATTGTGCACTGGGTAGGTACCTTCCAATTTCCTGTAGTTATTCTCTTGGAAGTGAAATGGACTGGTTGCCACATGCCACCCCAAGAGGAAAGTAACCTTGACAGGGCTTCATCATCCAATCTGAGGTGTGTTAGTGAAGGTTTGCCTTAAACCTCCAAAACTTTTTTGTATTTACTTGGGAAGCAAAGAGATGGGCAGCTGACATGGAGAGCAACTAAAAGCCTTTGGTCAGAATCACACTGTCCTGGTTTCCAGCTTTCACTACAGCTGGAGAATTAATTGATCAAGCTCTAGTTGAACACAAGAGTTGACAGTGAAAATCGTGATTCCAAATGAGAATCACAAAGATTGAAGGTTCTGAAGTACTTGTATTATGGATTTAGGATTCAGCTTTTTCTCATGTGGACTTTCCCAGGCCACGCAGTGTTAGCTCAAGTATGGGAAAAGGTACATGTAATGTAGATGTTTTCAGTGGGCAAAATAGAGGAAGAAATATACACCAAAGGGTGATATCCATAAGGTATTTCCCATTTTGTGACCAAATAATCATAACCATACATGACAGCATACCAAAGGAGACAGCAGGCAAGACCAATAATGCTTATTTCCCTCTATGTTCTTCCTGTTGTCTATAATGCAAGTAGCTTTTTCAAGCAGTAAGCAAAAAAGTTTTATTTTTTGAGAAAAAATATTGGTAGAGCTAACCACATTTCAGAGGTCGAAGTCAGAAGCGCGGGCTTCTAAATCCAGCTAACGTTCTATTTGAGGCCCCTCCGCTTAGTAACCCGTGTTATAACGAAAACCTCAGGAAGCATCCTGTATTTAACAGCGCGGCCCCAGGCACCGGAAGTGGAGCCTCCTTGATCTACTCAAACTACGCATTTCCCGCGGATAGATTGTAAGACGAATGAACGGCTGAAGACACAATCAATGTTAGCTAGACGGTAGGGGATCAGCAAATGAGTCTCACAAGCTTCTGCCCAAGTCCCAAGAACCACAACTGTGGGAAACGGAAGTGCCGGGTGGGCCGACAATTGGATGTGGAACAGGAACCGGAAGCCGGACACCGGAAGTGGATTTAGTAGGCGCCTGCGATGGCTGAACCTAAGCTAGTTGTAGTGGAATCTCTCCCTGGTTGCAGGGCGCGGGCGGCGCGTACTGTGTTAGGTCAGGTGGTGCTCCCGGGTGAGGAGTTGCTGCTGCCTGAACAAGAGGAAACAGACGGCCCTGGCGTTGCAGGGGAGCGACCCTTACGCCTGAATGCCGCGGTGTGCTCGCGATTGCGCGTAGTGTGCGGCCCCGGCTTGCGGCGCTGCGGAGACCGTCTTTTGGTGACCAAGTGTGGCCGCCTTCGTCACAAGGAGTCTGGCAGCGGCAGTAGTGGTGGCATTTACTGGGTGGACTCGCAACAGAAGCGGGTGAGTTGGGACTTCGGAGGGGCGGTGCGGCGCGGCGGTGACGTATCGTAGCTGTTGGAAGACTTCTCAAAGAAGCAGGTCTCAGGCCCTATAGCCTTCCTTTGTTAAGGAAGCCACCATGGTTTTGTGCCCACGTGTACATTTTATACAAACATAGCCTGGAAAGGGCGACCAAGGTTTGGAGATTTTGTGTCGTGGTTATCTTCAAAATCCTAAACGTCAGGAATCAGGCTTGGCTTTTGGGGTCCCAGAGGGCAGAACCAGTCGCAGAGAAGTTACAGGAACTTAGAAGCCACAAATAATTAAATTTATCTGAATAGTTAAGAACTTTCATATAGGAAAAACTGTCTAAAAATGGAACGGGCTCCGTGGCTGGAGTTACCGTTAAACAGAGGCTAGGGACTTACTGGTAAGGATATCGAAGAGTAATGGGATACTAGCTCAGATTAATAGACGATTAGAAGCTAAAAGGCCGGGTTAAGGGCCGTGCTCAGGTCCCAATTAAGAGTACTCTAGAGACTGAAGTGGGAGGATCGCTTGAGAGGAGATCGATGGAGAACAGCCTGTGTAACCACGACCCCAGCCTCAGAACCAAACCAGCAGCAGTAGCAAATTTGAGGGTTCATGAAAGTGACATATGACCAAGTTTCTTGTAAGATTTGTGTCAGTTTGTAAACTTGAAAAATATTTTCTAAACATCTCTTTAATGACAGTGAAATAGAGCAGGGAGTGGTGGCACACGCCTGTAATCCCCGCACTCCAGAGGCTGAGGCAGGAGGATCGCTGTGAGTTGGAGACCAGCCTGGGCTACATAGTGAGTTCCAGGTCAGTCTCAACTGCATAGTGAGACCTTGTCTCAAAAAAAAAAAAAAGACAGTAAAATAACTACTAAGGAAACTACTAAGGATTGTAAAAGGGATCTTCCAGGCCCCAGGATTTAGCTCAGTGGTGCCACCACCTGCCACACAAGCGCAAGGTTCCGAGTTTGATCCCCAGTACAAAAAAAAAAAAAAGTATCTTCCAGTGATAGTAATTTATGACTGTATGACTGTTCTTTCATTTTCTTTTGTAGTATGTACCAGTGAAAGGAGACCATGTGATTGGCATAGTAACAGCCAAATCTGGAGATATATTCAAAGTTGATGTTGGAGGGAGTGAGCCAGCCTCTTTGTCTTACTTGGCATTTGAAGGCGCAACTAAAAGAAACAGACCAAATGTACAGGTAATGATAGGAGCCTTTGATGTCAACAGTTTAAAAAAAAAAAAAAAAACATTTCCCCAAACATTCAGCTACCAGAAGGCTCCTCAGAATTGTCTCTGAAGTATGAACTGTTTTCCTAGTTCTACAGTATGATCTCCAGACATTTGGTTAATGGCCCCAGGCTCAAACGGTTCCTTAGATACTCCAGCTCCAAGACCACAGCTATATATTTAAATTTGCTACATTAGTTCTCTACTGAGTTGAATATATCCATATCTATTGCACAGGTGAATCAGCCATGGGAGAGGAGAGACAAATATTGCACATTATCATTATCAGCATCTGTCCATCTTGGCTGTTCCTTTGTAGTTCCTGAGTCACCAGATTGTAGGTCCTTGGGACTTACAGAGGAATAATCATAGTACCACAGATTTTCAATTTCTGGTAGTGTAGCCATATTCTTCCTCCCTACCCATGCCTTTGGTGGCTTCCTTAGCTCTATTCATTCACCTCTCATAGGACTTTATTTAATCTGATTTTTATTGATACTAGCCTGCCCCTGATCTTTTGCATGTCCATTCCTTTATCTTAGCAAGTTGTACTAGCTCCTTTTTGACAGGACTCAAAGCTTTACCTTTTAAACACCCCTGCCTCCATATTTTTAACCCTTCCATCCTGGCTTTTGTGAGCTGACATCCTCACCCATTTATTTTCTCAAAAGAAAAAAATTATTCAAAACCACAGAATTCTTTGGTGTTACTTCTCTCATCCATGATTATATCCTTCATACAGCCATGCTTTTCATAGCAAACACTGCTAAACTCAGTGTCTGCCCTTGGGCCTTTGCTCATGCTGTGCCATCTCAGCCTGTGGAACACATGCTTATCCTTTGAGGTCCAATTTAAACATTACTACCACTATAAAGCTATGCCTAATTGTCACTTTTGTATCTTCCATATAGTCCTTAGTGGGTGTAGCCTTGAATGAAATTTGTTTACATGTACATTCCTGTTTAAGATCAAATGCTTGAAAGGTAGAAAGTATTTTGTTTCTCTAGTTCCTGTAGTCACCAACAAACTAAAGTACTTAATAAATGTTTTGCTTACTAAGTAAATGGAACAAATTCATGTTCCATTTCTTCAGTTTCATTCTTAAGTTCAGCTCTGCAATTTTAAGTCTCATATATCTGAATTACAAGTGTTCCACTTGGTTTTTTTTTTTGGTTTTTGAGACAGGGTCTCACTAGGTAGTTGAGACTGACCTGGTACTCACTACATAGCCCAGGCTGGGCTCGAACTCACAGCAATCCTCCTGCCTCAGCCTCCCAAATGCTGGGATTACAGGTGTGTGCTACCACGCCCGGCTCCATTTGGTTTTGAATAATTGCATTTCAGTAGTTCCCTTTGTAAATCTCTGTAATTCTATAATTCTCTATAGAGTAGTGCTATCTATAATAGAACTTTCTAAAATAATGCTGTTTTATATCTGCACTGATTAATATGGTAGCTACTGCTTATATGTAGCTGCTCAGCACTTGAAATATGACCAGTGTAATGAGAAACAGAATTTTAAACAATCTAATTTTAATTAATTTAAATCTTATGTTTAAATAACTCCACGTGGGTATTGGACATTGTAATGATGGAGGCTATTTGGCCTTGAGATGGCTCCTAGTGTAAGGATTTCCTGGTAGGTGAAGGGACAGTTACATTTATTACCTCCAAAGTAGAATCCTAGAGTGTGGTCTAGTGATGGCAAACCTTTTAGAGACCGAGTACCAAATTATAACCCAAAACCCATCTGTTTATTGCAAAGTGCCAATAATGCAATTAAACCTAAATACTGAGGTTTTAGCTTAAGAAAAACAACTCAACATTAGCATCTTTTTTCTTAGAAGAAAAACGTGGTAACACATGTGCTATATATGTATTTAGGCCCTTTGCCAAAGAACTGTAGGTACCTGGCATTGCTGCCTATGGGAAGGAGCCAATAGCAGTATCTAAAGAATGGTTTGCTGAAAGAAAATAACTTTTTTTTTTTTTTTTTAAATAACTGTAGGTTGGAGATCTTATCTATGGCCAGTTTGTGGTTGCTAATAAAGATATGGAACCAGAGATGGTCTGTATTGACAGCTGCGGAAGAGCCAATGGAATGGGCGTAATTGGTCAGGATGGCCTTCTCTTTAAAGTGACTTTAGGCTTGATTAGAAAGTAAGTCCTGGTACCTACTACTTTGCCTGCCTTTTATAATTACTATACCTGCTTGGAAAGCTGATGACTCTTGGGAATTTGGACTCTTCATTAATGGCATCTAAATTTCCCTTCAAAGTTAGTTAAAAATACTCACTTTAGCATATTTATAAACTCTTGAATATAGTCCTGCCCCTTCTTACTGTGTCAAATTTAGATGTATTAGGCTGGTAGTTCTGGTGTTGGTGTGATGTCTGGGGTGCTACTCTATGTTTAAATTCATACTGTCCCATTCCACTCTTCTCTACCAGAAGGCCTGCTGTTCCTTGTAATTGACATATTCAGCCCCCAGTGGAAGAGTTGGCCTTTCTTCTGAGTCACTTGAATATAGATGCAGTCTGCACTTGTACCAAATTATAAGATTTCTCTAATGGTGGCCCAGTGCTGCTAGACTATGTGATCCTCAAGCTTATGTAGACACCTGCACAAGGCTCTTGCTGCTCTGTCCTGGCACATTTAATAGTTCACATGGAGTACTTTGTTAGGTGTTTAAACCTTTACCCAAAGCTGTGTCGTATTAAAGGGCTTTACTTCTACAGCCACTAAAATTCTAGGCCTCTCCTTTCTACCAGTTCTGCAGATTTGGAAACATAAGTTTGGGACATTAGAAAAGCATGCTATTAACAAAGCAGTATCTTGTGGGTCCAAAGAGCCAATATTCCTCCCCAGGTACTGAGTTTAATACCAGCAAATAACTTACATAGCCAGGAAAATAAGTTTAAAGTGTTCTCTTAGTACTGTAGTAATAAAAAAGCTTCTTGGGGGAAATGGGTTTTAGAGAGCTGAGCATGGTGCACATAGCTGCAATCCCAGCTACTTGGGAAGCTGAGACAGGAGGTTTTGAGCCTAGGAGTTTGAGACCAGCCTGGCAAGAGACCCTGTCTTAAACAAAAGTGAGAAGGGAGGAAGAAGGGCAGCAATGTCATCATATTTTATTCTTTGATGTTGCTGGAGCTTTGAAGAACTGTGGAGAACTGTCCAGAAAAGGAGTGTCTTTCTAAGGAGAGCCAGGACACAGCCCATCCTGTTACATTTCATTTTTCTTCTTCCTCACCAGGCTATTGGCACCAGATTGTGAAATCATACAGGAAGTGGGAAAACTCTATCCACTAGAGATTGTATTTGGAATGAATGGAAGAATATGGGTTAAGGCAAAAACCATTCAGCAGACTTTAATTTTGGCAAACATTTTAGAAGCTTGTGAACACATGACAACGGACCAAAGAAAGCAAATCTTTGCCAGACTGGCAGAATGTTGATAAATGTGGACTTCATTAATGGGTCAGATGAACCAAGAGACTGGGATTTCTAGGGAAACTTTTTTCAGGTGAACCTCTCCTATTAAATCACCAGCAGGCAAGATGTGAATATATGTATTGTCTAATTAAAGTCCTAAGTAAAGTATTTTTATAAGGAAATAACTGGTTTTCACTCATGTTCTTGTGCAATCATGATTTTTGTTTTATACAATAAAGTTTACTAAAAAAGTTACAGTTCATTTATTGGAAGGTAAATAGAGTGAAACTTCTATGATGAGCTGGAATTCAGCATTAAAATAATTATGTTCTGATTATAGTATTAGTGTTTATTCCCCAAAGGAAACAGAATACATAAAAAGTACAAAGAACTAAACAGGTCATCTGTAATCTCATATGTCAGAGAAAGAGTATGTAATAGTTAATAATCGTGTTATCATGTAGCAAGTATGGTTTCGAGTGTTGTTTTGTTTTTTGTTTTGGTACTAGGGACTGAACTTGGGTCCTTGCTCTTGCAAGGCAGGCGGTGGCACCACTAACCTAAATCCCTGGCCCAGGTTTCAAGTATTTTTACATGGATTAACTACAATATATTTTCTCATAGTTGAAGAAACTGAGGCACATAATTTAACTTGGCCTATATTTTTAACCAGTACATATATGTGTGCTGAAATTTTCAAATTGGAATTACTGAGTATCTTTTGCAATATAT